GCCTGTCACTGTTGTGGCCTCTCCCGTTGCGGAGCACAGGCTCCAGACGCTCAGGCTCAGCGGCCATGGCTCACGGGCCCAGCTGCTCTGCGGCATGTGGGATCTTCCCGGACCGGGGCATGAACCTGCGTCCCCCGCACTGGCAGGCGGACTCCCAACCACTGCGCCACCAGGGAAGCCCACGTTTGCCTAAGTTTTAAGCATGAATGAAATGTGGGCAAAGCCACGAGACCCACATGGGGAAAATAAAGCCTGGTATGAAGACTGCAGCAGCAAGGGACAGCATGTCTCATGTTAGATGGGCTATTCTCCTGGGATTTGGCATGTCTTTTCCAGGGTGATCCTCTCGAGGGTGTTTGATGAGGTCATCGAGGTGAACCTGATAGACAGTGTAGACTACATCCACCTGGCCTTTCTGAAGAGACCTGAGCTCGGAGTCACCCTCACCAAACTTCACTGTTGGACGCTCACCCATTATAGCAAGTGCGTCTTCCTGGATGCAGATACCCTGGTGAGTACAAGGGAGGGCAAGGACCAGACCCTCCACTTGTTGAGGAACCCCCGACAAAGACCATGCCCCTCCCTCCTTAAGCAAGCTGCTAGCTCATGCCGGTGGATCCCCACCAGGTAACGTCCATCACTATCACCAACATCATTTAGTCGATCAACATCAGATAGGGTCTACTGCAGTAGACCCTGCTGAGTACACTGGGATACTTGAAGGCATGTTCCTTCCCTAGGAGGGGTTTGTAATCACATTATTTCATCTACACAACGTAGAATATTAGAGAAATATTCTTCCTTGATTGTACCGTGAAATATAGAGTCCTGAAGGGACTGGTACACCTGGCTTCTTAAGCTGTGGCATCCCCCATTGTCATTTGGAGTAGTTACCTTTGGTGTAGGAGCCCAGGATGGGCACTTTCATAAACAGCCATTGGAAAGTTGAAATGTAAAATGAGGTTGGAGTGTCAGAGATACATTCGAGGTTGTCTTGGTTGTGCAAAAGCAGCTCTGTAGGAAAACGGGTGCAGAGGAAAATAATAAGTGCATAATCACAGTAATTTCTTTCCCAAACAGCGTAATTCAGAAAACCAGTAGGTGTTGGAGAGAACTGCTGTTGGTGGTCAAGCTCTCGAAGACAGTGGATTATATGATATTGTCTTGCAAACTTCTCTGTTTATGGATTTCCAGTCTTATAGGTCACATTTGCTAGATGAAAGAGAACATATACAATTAAGAGCATTCCATGGAGGATCTTAAGAATCTTGAGATGATAATTGCATTTCAGTGATGGTGTTACTTCAAACCCTTGAAATAAACCAGGGAGCAATCTTACACACACACTCTTCTCTTTTGAATATAAGTCTAAAAGAAGAGAGGGGCTTCCCTGGTGGCGCAGTGGATGAGAGTCCGCCTGCAGATGCAGGGGACACGGGTTCGTGCCCCGGTCCGGGAAGATCCCACATGCCGCGGAGCGGCTGGGCCCGTGAGCCATGGCCGCTGAGCCTGCGCGTCCGGAGCCTGTGCTCCGCAAATGGGGGAGGCCGCAACAGTGAGAGGCCCGCGTACCGCAAAAAAATAAAAAAAATAAGAGAGTCAGTCAAAAAATTGGGTATAAGTTTCCCATCACTGAACGTTGTCTGGCCCATTGTGACGTTCCTGTTGCATTTCTCACTTGTGCCCCAGAGGTTAAGAGAAGTGTCGCTGTTACTGAGTCCAAGCTTGTACTGCTCACCACACGAGACAGGCCAGTAAATCGAGAGACGAGGTGTTGGAGCGAAGAATAATGACTTTATTCGGAAAGCCAGCAGACCGGGAAGATGGTGGACTCGTGTCCCAAAGACCCATCCTCCCTGAGTTAGAATTCAAGCTGCTTTTATACTAAAAGGGGAGGGGCTGAAGTCCTGCTTCTGGTCAGAATTTCTTCCTTCTTGCAGCCATTCACAGGTGGGCCTGATGAGGTTTTCCTGTGAGCGAAACAGAGGTATTTTAGCTTAACACTCATTGCACTGGAGGCAGGGTTCCCAGAGATGGGCCATTATGTATTGTTTAAGCTTATGGGCAACATCCCTTTGGTGATTAACTTGCAGCAAAAGCAGTAGAATACAAAGGTTAAAGTAAGAGAAACAGGTCCAATATGGAGTCACATTGGTTCTTCCCTATGAGATCGTACGGGTCCCCCACGCTCTGTTGCTCCAGGTGCTGTCCAATATCGATGAGCTGTTCAGTAGGAGAGAGCTTTCTGCGGCCCCGGATCCCGGGTGGCCGGATTGCTTCAATAGCGGGGTATTCGTCTTCCAACCTTCCCTGGAGACGCATGGCCTCTTGCTGCAGCATGCCACCGACCACGGCAGCTTTGACGGTAGGTGAAGGGCAGCTGGACATTTGTGGAAGAGAATAGGGCCTGAACACATCCCTCTGCCCCACCGACAGCTGTAGTCCCCACCACCCTGTATCTGTGAGCGGCAAGTTGGGGATTGAAGAACAAATGCAGGAAGAGATGAAGATATAAGTAAGTACATGGTAAAGAGGATGGTTGAAAATATCTTCGATGGGTAGAAGGAAGAACTCCTCAGTCCTGATCCCATAGGATGCATGGACAGCCTTTCTTTAAAGGGCCGGATAGGCGACTTCCCTGGTGGTTAGGGAAGTGGTTAGGACTCTGCACTTCCACTTCAGGGGGTACGGGTTCCATCCCTGGTTGGGGAACTACGATCCCGCAAACCTCGCGGCGCAGCCCAAATAAAATAGAAAAGGACCAGGTAATTAATGTTTTCAGCATCGTGGGGCATATCATGTCTGTGACAGATATTTATCCCTGTAGTTGTGGAGTGAAATCAGCCATTGACAGGACTTAAATGAGCGTGGATGTGTTCCAGTGAAACTTTATTTACAAAAATGGGTGCAAGCCTTCGTTGGCCAACCCCGATATAGAATAAAGGGGAGAATTAACTGAAACCAGACACTTACCTGAACAGGCGTTAGTAGATGGGAAAAATACTAGAATTTTTGTAACGTGAAAGAAAATGGTAGACTATTGAAAAATTGGAATGTAGATTGGTGCAGCCGCTGTGGAAAACAGGATGGAGGTTCCTCAAAAAACTAAAACTAGAACTGCCGTATGATCTAGCAATTCCACTTCTGGGCATATATCTCCAAAAAAACCAGAGACGCTAATTTGTAAAGACACGTGCACCCCAGTGTTCATAGCAACACTATTTACAGTAGTCAAGCTATTGAAGCAACATCAATGTCCGCAGATCAGTAGATAAAAAAGATGTGGCATATACACAATGGAATATTACTCAGCCATGAAAAAGAATGAACTATTGCCATTTGCAGCAACATGGATGGACTTGGAGGGCATGATGCTAAATGAAACAAGTCAGACAGAGAAAGACAAATACCGTATGCTGTATGGTATCACTTATATGTGGATCTAAAAAATACAACAAACTAGTGAATATAACAAAAAAGAAGCAGACTCATAAATACAGAGCACAAACGAGTGTTTATCAGTGGTGATGGGGGGGGGCAAAATAGGGATAGGGGATTAAGAGGTACAAACTATTAGGTATAAAATAAGCTACAGGGATATATTGTACAACACTGGGAACAGAGCCAAGATTTGATAATGACTATAAATGGAGTATAATGTCTAAAAAATTGCGAATCACTGTATTATCCACCTATAACTTACATACTGTTGTACAGCAGCTATACCTCAATAAAGCCATAATAATAAACATTGATAGAAAAAAGAAAAATTCCTTCTAGGTAAGGACGAGGTAACAAAGTTGGCAAAAATGGTGGGAACAGCGATTGTCGATACCAGATAGAATTCCCTGGGGAGGAGTGGAGAATTTTGGAGACAATGTGCGATTTTATTATTAATTGTTTGCACCATCAGTGGAGAATTCTGGAGAGACTATGCACTTTTCATTTTTATTTCATTTTATTTTCTTTTTTTGGCTGCTTTGGGTCTTAGCTGTGGCACGCAGGATCTTTGGTTGAGGTGTGGGCTCTTCTTTGTGGCATGCGGGCTTCTCTCTAGTTGTGGCGTTTGTGGGTTTTTTTCCTGTCTCTAATTGTGGTGTGCGGGGTCCAGAGCACATGAGCTCTGTAGTTTGCAGCACATGGGCTCTCTCGTTGAGGTGTGCGAGCTCAGTAGTTGTAGCGCGTGGGCTTAGTTGCCCCATGGCATGTGGGATCTTGGTTCCCGGACAGGGATCATACCCGCATCCCCTGCATTGGAAGGCAGATTCTTTACCACTGGACCACCCGGGAAGTCCCGAGACTATGCACTTTTTAAATGAGTGGTGTGGGTTATCAGTCGCTTTTGAGACAACGACCATGTTTTAGTGGGTTGAGAGAGGAAATGTAATTTGTGTGCTGGGATACCAGTGTTTTTCCACTATGTCTTCAAACATGTCTTGCATTCTCTTGGTGCACTGTACCATTCTTTATTAACTTCTTTGGCTGTTTGTTAACTCTCTAGGGGCAGACCAAGGCTTGTTGAACAGTTTCTTCAGTAGCTGGTCCACAGCAGACATCCAGAAACACTTGCCATTCATTTATAACTTGAGTAGCAACACGGCCTACACCTACAGCCCTGCTTTCAAACAGTAAGTTTCATGCCAAGCCCAATTCTTCTATACCTGGTCAACCGTCCTCTCTCAGAATCTAATATCACCTTTTGGCATTTTGAAGGAAAAAAAGAAAAAACAGATCATCCTTCTGCTTGCTTATTTATTGCTTTACATGATAGGTAATCAAGGCAGCTAGGCTTAATGAGAATGGTCCCCAAAGTGTTGCCCAGGGAACCCCCCCTGCCCCTCTTTCAAGGGTCTTTGAAATCAAAGTGACTTTTAAAAAATTAATTCTAAGATGTCATTTTCATCTTTTCACTCTTGTTTTCTCATAATTGGACAGTGGGATTTTACCGAGATGCCATGACATAATGTGATAAAAAGCATTGCACTGAATGCAGGTGCAGATAAGAGAAACCAACCGTCTCCTCGTAAAATAGGCAGTGTCACTCAAATTTTTAAAAATATAGTTACATAGAGAGTTACAATTTATGAAAAGATACAAAAGATGTGACATTTTACGCATTTTAAAAAAATATAGTTATATAAGTTATATTTTATCAAGAGATACGAAAGATGTCACTTTTTACACATTTAAAAAATATAGTTATTATATTTTTATGAAGAAATATGAAAGATGTCACTTTTTACACATTTAGAAGATATATAGTAATATATAGTTATAGTTACACTTTATGAAAAAATATAAAAGTTATGTTAACATATAATGGGCCCATGGTTTTTTAATGAGTTGCTACATGGGTTTTCTAATTTCTCAGTTTTAACTTCTGTTGCGGTGAATATGGACAGATGGTATCCACGTGAACAAACATCTTTTGTTCCTCTGTGATTTGTAAGAATGTCAAGAGGTCCTAGAACCAAAATGTGTGAGATCCACTGCTCTAAGTGAAAATGGAATATCTGAGAAGATTTTGAGCGTGCTTTTTTATTTTTATTTATTTATTTTTTTGCGGTATGCGGGCCTCTCACTGTTGTGGCCTCTCCCGTTGCGGACCACAGGCTCCGGACGCACAGACTCAGCGGCCACGGCTCACGGGCCCAGCTGCTCCGAGGCATGTGGGATCTTCCCGGACCGGGGCACGAACACGTGTCCCCTGTATCGGCAGGCGGACTCTCAACCACTGGGCCACCAGGGAAACCCGAGTGTGCTTTTTTAATAGGGGCCGCACTGCCCCCAAGGAGGCAGACACTGGTTTGTGGGGTGTAAAGCCATCATATCCTTTTTAATGTAAAAAGCACGGCTGTACCTACAGAACGTAGATATACAGGGCAAAGATGATTTTAAAATTTCATAGGAAAGCAATTAAGAAAAAATGGTTTAAAAAGTTTCGAGGTTGGTGAGAGTGGTGATAATGAAAAAAAAAAGGTCGAGAGGGGAAAATTCACCATCTTGTACAAGAAACCAGTTTTCTGGTCTGCAGCTTGCGTTATCTACTATAAAATCCACGTTTTTATCGTTTTCAGGATAAGATGATTTGGGCTACGGTACTGCCCATCTTTCTAAAAGACTCCTGATTTCTTCTTCCCGCTTTGGGGAACATCCCAAGTGAGTTATGATTATGTTTCTTGGTCTGTAGGAAATGAAAGGCTGCAAACGTGCCTTGACAAAGCAGTTATTTTTACTGCAAGTCTAGGTGGTGGTTAATGACAGGCTCGTCCATAACTCGTTGAGATGCATCTTTACGTCCCGCTGTCTGTGATGAGTACTGTGGTTGTCACAGGCTCTCTGTGTGTGGTCACTTCCAAGAGGAAGGCCGGATGCTTTGTGTTTCCTCCTCAGATTCGGCTCGAGTGCGAAGGTGGTCCACTTTTTGGGGTCCACGAAGCCTTGGAACTACAAGTACAGTCCCCAGACGGGCTCCGTTTTGGAGGAGGGCTCTGGGTCTGTCAACCAGCATCAGACGTCCTTCCTTAACGTCTGGTGGGGGATTTACCACCGCAGCATTCTGCCTCTTTATGAAAATATCCAGCACGAGGACGAACAGACATCTCTGGGACACACAGTAAGCACACGATTCCCTTGACATCCGAGAGTTCAGACCGGGGATAAACTCTCCGTGATCCACACCTGTGGGTTTTCTTCAAATACACGTTCCTCCCTCTTTTTATGGAGTCTCTTCTCATTTTTTTTGTAAGTGGTTTTATTCTTTTTTTTTTAAATTAATTAATTTATTTACGTTTGGCTGCGTTGGGTCTTTGTGGCTGCGCACGCGGGCTTTCTCTAGTTGCGGCGAGCGGGGGCTGCTCTTCGTTGTGGTGCCCGGGCTTCTCATTGCGGTGGCTTCTCTTGTTGCGGAGCACGGGCTCTAGGGCACAGGGTTCAGTAGTTGTGGCACGTGGGCTCTAGAGCGCAGGCTCAGTAGTTGTGGCGCACGGGCTTAGTTGCTCCGCGGCATGTGGGCTCTTCCCGGACCAGGGCTCGAACCCGTATCCCCTGTGTTGGCAGGTGGGTTCTTAACCACTGCACCACCAGGGAAGCCCCTCTTCTCATTTTTTGTTTTAGGAAAGACAGATTTAGGATATCTTAAGCAATTATCAAGTTATATTTTTATTTATTTATTTTTAAAATGTCACTTTTTATTCCAAATTCTTTTTTTTTTTTGGCTTACAGTATCTTAGTTCCCTGACCAGGGATTGAGCCCACCCCCTCAGCAGTGAAAGTGCAGAGTCCTAAGCACTGGACCGCCAGGGAATTCCTAACCAAGTTACATATTTTAAAAAATCTGTCAAGGCCTACGTTAATGAAAGAAAGAAGGTTTTTAAAAAGTTCAGTGTTTATAGACATGTTCATTAAAAAAGGACGGAATTAGAAGATATTCAGTAATGTTGGTACACACCAGGAAAGGATCAGGCAAGGAAAGATACGTCATTTCGTCGCAAGAAAGAAAGACCATAGTTGGAAGTTAATGACCAGCCAAACTTTAGGTCTTGTGCTAGATTTCCTTTTGCATCCACATCCTATATTTCATGCAGGAGGATGCTGAAAGAGGCAGGCAACATTTGTTGTTTTTTTGGTGTAAAACCGTAAATGTTTCATGAGCAGAATTGCTGCTGTGATTTACAGGGCTGATGCATAAATAATTATTTAAATTAGCCGCCTTCATCAGAGAAAGAGCCACTCACAGATTAAGTGGCTAAAGATGATTGATTACAAATGTCATTGGAGGGGGCATTTTCCACTTTCCCTCCTCGATTGAAGTAACATTCAGAGGTGGTTTCTTTTTTTTTTTTTTTAATTTATTTTATTTTTATTTTTGGCTGCGTTGGGTCTTCGTTGCTGTGTGCAAGCTTTCTCTAGTTGTGGCGAGCGGGGGCTACTCTTCCTTACTCTTCATTGCGGTGGCTTCTCTGGCTGCGGAGCACGGGCTCTAGGCACGCGGGCTTCAGTAATTGTGGCTCGCGGGCTCTAGAGCACAGGCTCGGTAGTTGTGGCGCACGGGCTTAGTTGCTCCATGGCATGTGGGATCTTCCCGGACCAGGGCTTAAACCCGTGTTCACTGCATTGGCAGGCGGATTCTTAACCACTGCGCCACCAGGGAAGCCCCATTTGATTTTGTATAACTGTAACCCTACATGCTCTCCATAGTAGAGTATCTGCAGTGAATTTTTTTTTTTTTTGGCTGCAACTGGTCTTAGTTGCGGCCTGTGGGATCTTTAGTTGTGGCACTCGGACTTCTTAGTTGTGGCATGCATGCAGGATCTAGTTCCCCGACCAGGGATCGAACCCGGGCCCCCTTCATTGCAAGCGCGGAATCTTACCCACTGGACCACCAGGGAAGTCCCTCTGCAGTGGACTTAATAGGGAGGCACTTGCCTTGCCAAAGACCTTTTAAAATAAGGTCCCAGGAAATTTTATTTCCTGGTCAGTTTTTGACTAGTGCATGTATTGGTACAATGGAGTGCAGTGTCCGCAGATGCTTGTGTTGGGATCTTGAAACAAGTCCATATTTTAGTGTTTTTACTATGGTTTCTGTTTGGTGCAGCTGGGTGCTGCTTTCCAAGAGAACTAAAGCTTTCTCTGACCATGCGACACGAGTGAGTAGGAGTTTATTCAGATTCTTGATGGGAAGTTGCTGTTCTTTTCTGCAAAGCAGTATGCTAGGTTCTGGGTTGGCTAGGAAGGAAAATAAAGCCAAGTCAGGTGGTTCTAAGCAGTAAAACGTGGAGAGCAGTCTAGGGACCCTGTGCCTTGGGGTCCTTCTCACCTGGAGCAGTAATGTGATCGCGGATGTCGGCACTGGGGACCTCTGGCCACACAGGGGAGGGGATGGGCAGCGGGACATCGGTAAGGATGGCAGGAGGACCTTGCTAAATGTGAATACCTTTTCTTGCAGGCTCACCTCGGGGGCGCTGGGGTGCCTTGTTCAAGTTCAGCGCCCACTGCTGAGGGGTCGTGTGCAAATGCTGTGCCCCGCTCCGGGGAGCCCTGTACCAATTGGGCGGAGGGGCCCCACCAGCCTTGGCCTGAGAGCACCATGGTGGTGGTGGCTGAGGCCCCCGCGTCGCCTGACGCGTGCCCTGCGGAAGATGTAAGTACGTGCTCTTCACACTGGTGCGATGGGGACACAGACGCTGGTTTCTCCGCGAGATAAAGCAGAGAGGATGCTCCCCGGGGTCCCGGGGAGGGGCTGGGGGGTCGGGAGGGACCTGTCTTCAGTTTCCTCTGTGGTATTAGGGCCTCCTGAGTTTCTTTAGAGAAAATGGCAAAATTGCACGTCACGGTAAAGCCAATGACAGCTACATCCTAATCCCTGGAACCTGGAAATGCTGCCTTATATGGAAACGGGGTCTTTGCAGGCGGGATTGAGTTAAGGACCTTGACGTAGGGATGTGGTCCTGGATTATCCGGGACGGGGGGACACACAGTATCATCACAAGGGTTCTCCTAAGAGGGAGGCGGAAGGAAGCTTGATGAGATGGGAGAGAAGCAGGAGTGAGACGGGGAGCAATGGGAAGATGTGAGTTTCTGGCTTTGAAGGTGTACAGGAGCCACAGGTGCCTCTAGGAGCTGGAAGAGGCGAAGAAATGGGCCATTGGCTAGAACCTCCAGAAGCAGCTCAGCCTTGCTGAGGACACCTGCCCAGTGAGACCCAGCGTGGGCTTCTGACCTCCAGAACTGTTAACATCATCAGTCTGCATTGTTTTGTTTTGTTTTGTTTTTTACACTTCTTGATGGTTGATTCTCTGCCAGGTGCAGCCCTAAGCACTGTACGGTATACTGTTCCTGTTAAAAAGCACAAGAGCACAATTCTTCTGTCCATTTTTTAAAGCTAATTTTTTTTAGAGTGTAGTTGCTTTACAATGTTGCGTGAGTTTCTGCTGTACAGCTAAGTGAATCAACTCTATGCATACATATATCCCCTCTTTTTTGGATTTCCTTCCCGTTTAGGTCACCACAGAGCACTGAGTAGAGTTCCCTGTGCTGTACAGTAGGTTCTCATTAGTTATCTATTTTATATATAGTAGTATATGTATGTCCATCCCAATCTCCCAATTCATCCCACCCCACCTTCCCTCCCTGCCGGTAACCATAAGTTTGTTCTCTACATTTGTGTCTCTGTTTCTGCTTTGCAAATCAGTTCATCTGTATCATTTTTCTAGATTCCACATAGAAGCGATATTACAAGATATTTGATTCTCTTTTTCTGACTTACTTCACTCTGTATGACAGTCTCTAGGTCCATCCATGTCTCTGCAAATGGCATTATTTCGTTCTTTTTTATGCCTGAGTAATATTCCATTGTATATATATACCACATCTTCTTTATCCATTCCTCTGTTGATGGATATGTGGGTTGTTTCCATGTCCTGGCTACTGTAAACAGTGCTGCAGTGAACATCGGGGTGCATGTGTCTTTTCTAATTATGGTTTGCTCTGGGTTTATGCCCAGGAGTGGGCTTGCTGGGTCATATGGTAGCTCTACTGTTAGTTTTTTGAGGAACGTCCATCCTGTTCTCCACAGTGGCTGTACCAGTTGACATTCCTACCAACAGTTCAGGAGGGTTCCCTTTTCTCCGCATGCTTGCCAGTATTTATTGTTTGTACATTTTTTGATGATGGCATTGTTTTAAGCCACCTAGTTTGTGTCTCTAAAAATGAGAAGGTCATTGCCCTTCTATAAGGAAGGGGTGCTTTTTTGCAGTGTGTGTGTGTATATTTCATTATTTTACACTCCCAGGCCATCTTTGCAATTAATTATGCAGCATTGCTGCCACCTACCGGCCATCCATTGAATGATTCACTCTGGGTTCTTTATTTTGGGGATTTGGAACCAGTCCAAAAAAACCAAAAAAACGATTATTTTCATAAATTCCTGTAACTGCGGAAGAGCTGGGTGTCTGGATCTGGGATCCTTATTCCAAATAGCAGCCTTTGTATGTATAGTCATGGCAGTGTCGAGGAGTAGTCTCCGTTTTCAATAGTTGAATATCTCGGGCTTCCCTGGTGGTGCAGTGGTTGAGAGTCCGCCTGCCGATGCAGGGGACACAGGTTCGTGCCCTGGTCTGGGAAGATCCCACATGCCGCGGAGCGGCTGGGCCCGTGAGCC